ATACAAGAAATATGGAGAGAAGAAAAAATCCCACAACAATGGAAGAAAAGTATAATCTGCCCTATTCATAAAAAAGGAGACAAACTGTTATGCCAGAATTATAGAGGCATCTCTTTACTTTGTTCGGGATACAAAATACTCACAAACATTCTTAATCGAAGACTTCAACCCCTCACTGAAAAAATTATCGGGGAATATCAAGCAGGGTTCAGGCAAAATAGATCTACTATTGACCAACTATTTACAGTTAAACAAATACTAGCCAAAGCATGGGAATATGACATAGACGTCTACAATCTCTTTGTAGATTTCAAGCAAGCCTATGATTCAATAGATAGAACAATACTACCTAATATATTACAAGAATTTGGCATACCATCAAAATTAATAAGACTAGTGCAAATGACAATGACAGAAACAGAAGCACATGTATGTATTCAAGGACAGATCACTGATGCGTTTATGACAACGCAAGGACTGAAACAAGGTGACGGACTGGCTCCAACACTTTTTAATCTTGTTCTTGAATATGTAATTAGACGGTTGACGGTGAGCAGAAATAACATACTTACAAACAAATCTACCCAATTAGCAGCATACGCAGATGACATAAACATAATGAGCAGAACAAAGACTGCGGCAGAAGAAACCTACGTTCAGTTGAAACAGAGTTCAGAAGTTGTAGGGCTAACAATAAATACAAATAAAACAAAACTACTCATACAAACCAGATCAAATAGACAGGCGCAACAACAACAATTTATAGACGATATAGAATACGTGAATAGATTCACGTATTTAGGAATGGATCTGGTCGAAAATAATGAAGAAGAACCGGAAATAAATAGAAGGCTTATGCTGGCAAACAAAGCCTATTTCGCGATGGGCCACATATTCAAATCGCGAGACGTACACCGGAAAACAAAACTCCGGGTATATAAAACAATAATCCGACCCATAGTAAGTTATGGGTGTGAAACATGGGTTATAACACAGAAATCTACCAATGCATTAGACGTGTTCGAAAGAAAAATATTGCGTAGAATACTGGGTCCAATAAAGGAAAATAACAACTGGCGAATTAGATATAATAACGAAATATACGAACAATACACTGAACCAACACTAGCACAATACACTAGACTGCAGAGATTACGATGGGCAGGGCATGTGGCCCGCATGCATGAGAACAGAATCCCCAGAAAATTACTAAACGCAAGAATGCAAGGAAAAAGACCTGTTGGAAGACCAAAAAAGAGATGGGAAGACGAGGTAGATGAGGATGCCAAAAATCTCCTAAAAACGCGTTCATGGAAAAGAACAGCAGTAAATAGAGATGTTTGGAGAGGTTTAATGAAGGAGGCCAAGGCCCGGCTTGGGCTGTAGTGCCATTGGATGGATGGATTGTGCTTATAAAATATAAAACATTTTTAGGGAACAAAATTAAGATTTTAGTAAATGATACAAACACTAATAGCATATTTGTAAGAAAACATTCAAAATACCTATTTTTTCATGTAGATAGTGTGAGATAAGACATACGCCACTCTTCGCTCACAACAAAGTCCCTCCATTAGAGATATCTAGTGTGGCAGTTATTTTCAGAGAGAAAGAAAAACCCAAGGTGTGAGACGAATGGTCATCTAATTGGAGTCATTTGTTTCACTATCTCGACATTTGAAATGGCATCATTTCTCCACCACCGGGAGGTTTTCTCTGTTTTTTTGACCCCCTCGCTCTGTGTTTTCTGACCGGTCACTGGAACCGAACGGAGGGAAAAAATGGAAAAGTGCTTGAGCACTCTAAAAAATTATTTACGGGTGGACGACGACAAGTAATATTAATACAAAAAGATAACAGTCTACACTATTAGAAACTGTGTTTCTTAATATACAGCGAAGAAAAATTATATAAAGCCATTTTTTCTAAAAAAAATAAGACTTTAAAGGCAAAATCTGAAAGAAGTAGATTTTTATTTATGAATTATGAGTTAAAAAAAAGAGATTTAGAAAAAATGTAGGTAGATCCTATTGCATTCTACACACT